TCAAGTTATACAGGGTTGTAAACCCTACCGTCGATCTTTGATCGACGGTTGACTTGTGGTCAATGGGTATCAAACTATTTTAGAATGTTGTTGAGGTTGTGTTTTATGTGAATTACGTATTCTACTGATAAGAGTTCTGAGATGTGATTTGATAATTGGCCACAGGGACCGATCATTCAGGACGCCTTGATGCGTGTGCTAGAGAAGTATAGCGTGGACTCCAGGTGAGTTGATCTTTTCCTTTTTGTTGTGTATATTATTGAGAGTTCTATCGACACTTTTAAATTGATTAGGTATATTACCTTCATATAATTATTGTGAATGCTTGAAGTACCTATATGAACTACGAATGGCTTGATCCCTATTTAGGGTACGTAGGCAGTCTAACGAGACGTTAGATGCAGCCATAAAATATTTGAGACAAAAGCCTTGCTTGGGAAATTGAGTAATGCGAAGGAAATTGGTAAAGACAAGTTTTAGTTTTGTGAATTAGTTAGTTAAATTAGAGTTAATTGGGTTGTTATGGATAATTATCCCTGAAAATAAGTAGTTTGGGAGTATGGCGTTATTAATTGTACACTTCACACCATATTGTTTATAATTGAAAATGCTACGACATGGTTGAGTAGTAGATTGCATCATGATATATCCATATGTATATTACTTGCATATAATTATTGGGAATGCTTTCAAGTGCAAAGGTGAACTCAGGACACCCAGGTAAGTTCAGGTGAGTTTATGGTACTAGTTGAATCGATTGTGTTATAGCATGACTACAGTTATGAGTTAGGCAACTTCGATACTGTTGTACTGGTTGCCATGAGTTGCACATGTTATATTGAGATGCATTGAGAGCTCATAAACCTGCACCCCGGTGTTAGTGCTCCCGTCCGTAGACAGGGCACAGTCCTTCACGTGATGTTCACCTCCCGCACCTTACGCTCACCTTAGATTCAAGGTAGGTGCACAGTCCTGTCGTACAGACAACTTTAGGTGGTTCTGACTCGTAGGTGACCCGCGATTATTCGCCCAGCCTTCACGTGATCATAGCACTTGAGCGTATTTATTTACACCCAGTCCTGTCGTACAGACCACTTTAGGTGGTTCCGACTCGTGTGCAGGTATACTTATTGAGCTATTGGCTAGCCAGGATTGATGAGATATGGATAAGTCGTACAGGTCACTATAGGTGACTCCGACTTATATGCTAGCCAGATTGATGAGATATGGATAAGTCGTACAGGTCAATATAGGTGACTCCGACTTATATGCTAGCCATGATTGATGAGATACAGATAAGTTGTACATGTCATTTTACATGACTCTGACTGATATATCACTTTGTATTGATTTAGTTCATTTGGCCTACTTATTAATGTATGGTGGATTTGATGGCAAACCGTGGTTTTGGTCATTTCCGAGTATGGTTTGGATATATGTATATATGTTGTACTGTCTTATGGAAAACGAAACGGGTTTTACATTTAGGGACATTACTTTTAGAGAGGTAATAACTTTGGGAAGCTTGGTTTTATTGCTTACTCACACCTTCTGTTTGGTGCCCTCCAGGTTTTAGCTGCTGAGTTTGTATCGACAAGAATCTGTGGCGAATCTTAGTATTGATGGATATTTTTGAGGGTATGATTTTTACCCACATTACTGTACCTTACTTATGCTCTGACATCGTGCGTGAAATAGGTTCGCTCCCACTCGTAGCGCACTCTGGTATTTAGACACTTTTAGATTCAAATTCATTCACTTTTTATACACTATCACCTTTTATGGCTTCGTCACCTTCTAAGTGTCGGCCAGCACAGCTCGATTCAGGGTCCAAGTGGACTTTCTGGGTCGGGGTGTGTCACTTACACTCTTATTTAATCGTGTCTTCGTTCAATTTGATCCGTTCACTCTGATGATCTAAATTTTTTATTATTATTTTTTAATAAAAAATAGTAATTATTATCATTTTCTTTCTCAACACATGTCCCTAGTCATTGGACCTAAATGTCAAAGTCTCAGCCCACTTTAAAAAGAAAAAGATTTTTTTTTTCTTTTTCCAACAAAAATAAAAAATAAAAAACAAAAAATCTGACACAAAGAGATAAAGCTACAAACTTTGCTCGCATTCTGCTCCCCTATGAAAGCCCAGAAACCGTAATCCGAACAAAGACCCAAAATTTCCCTCCTTCCCAACACCCCAACAAACTGGCACCAGAGCTGGTGTAGATACATTGAATTCGGTTCACCACCCCTACCGTATTTTGGCTGCTATATACAACTTTCTTATGGCTTAAGAAAAAGGAAATATTATCTACGTTTTTTAGCCCAAATTTTGGAAAACGTGTGGAATTAAAACTCATTCCGTTGGTTTAGAGTTTTTACGATTACGAAATTAATAACTGAGCAAGTTTAAAATTGAGCGCATTTAGTTTGATGCATTTTTTTTATTTTCGTCATAGATTATTTTGGGTGAAATAAGGATTTGTTCCTTGATACATGAGAGATTTGCAAGCGGTATTAAAAGGAGAATTGTAAAAAGTAAGGGTAGAATGATTGCAAGTTCAGAGCTTTTTCGATTTCGAACCAATATTGAGCTAAAAAACTAAAATCTTGTCAACCACGTTGAAAGGGTTTTCAATTTGAAGCACAATCAATTTTCAGCGTTTGCTGAAGAAAGTTTTCAAGTAGTAAACCCTAAACCTTATAAAAAATTTATCGTCATAGTTTATTAGGTGACTTGAAGCTTACGGCTTGGTGCATGAGAGATTTGCGAGTGTACAACCAAGTACAAATATAAAACCTTAATTAAAATGAAAATCTGAAGTGTAACTTCATTGATAATATCATCACGAGGACATATTTCTCTATGAATTTCACTTATACATGTCTTGAAATGCACTTATTTTTCATATCCGAATGGATCAAGAAAAGAGCTCAACTGATTATTTGAACTTGATTCCGCAGGAGCATTGACAAGTTTCCTGAACACAATGCATGATGCAGTGAGGATCCTCACACTTATACTCATAGCATTGTTCTTCACTTATGCATTCCAGATGATAGGGTGTCGGAGACAGGGATGCCAACGCAGACGAGGATAGGGGATCAGCGTTCCTTGCAGCTTCCAGTTCTCTACTTTTAGCTCCATCTTGCAAACCTGCATCGACATCCATGTCCGATAACATTATATATGCAATCCAGTACTAATATATATATCACCCTTACATGTGTATATATCTCCACGTAGACATCAAACACACACACACACATATATATGATTGATTCTAAATATTAATAACAAAACTTTAGGCACATTGTCGAAGATATTTAAAATTTGATCAAATGAGGATCTACCAAGGATGAGAAGGAAGCACACTATTATCGCACAAGTCTTCGTCATTTTTGCTTGGAGGAGTATGTGGTATCTAAGTTTGTAGTGGAATTCTGCTCTTCTAAACTTCGTGATGGTAACATTATGAGCCTATAGGGCCATATTTATATGGTGATCATAGGTGTTTTTGTATCCGTTGTATGATATTATACTCGATTAGGAAAATAACAATGTTGCAAGGTTTTTGCATTTCTGGAAACGTATCAAGGCCCGTTTTATAGCGTTTATGGAAAGAAATAACAATGCATTTTTCGAAGAGATTATAGTTAGCATAGGAGAACACGATGCACTTAGACACGTTAGAATCCATGAATGGAAGCTTCCTCATTGCTAATGATTACTTGCTACAGATGGCATTGTGATCCCTAATCTGAAGAGATTTGTTTCCAATTTGAAGAAGAAAGGTTTTCCACAAAAGAGGCACGGCGTGTTTTGGTCTGAAATCCGTTCTCAGAAAGTTTCCAAACTAATGTACGGCCGAGGAGTTTTGGAATTTTATTGCATATAGGTAACTTTTACATGAACGGTACAGCGAAAAATTAGCACTGTACATGTTGTTTTGATGCAGTTAACAAAGCATACTGCATACCAGTTTTCACTGCATAATGCATTGTGTGCTAGGAACTTGTCAGTGTTCTTGCGGAAAAGACATGTAGTAGGCACTTTAGATCAAATTCAAATAATCCCTTGAGATCTTTGCTTGTGGTATTAATAAACGCAGTCGGATATTATGAAAAATAAATGAAAATCACAGCATGTGTAAGTGAAAATCAAAGAGAAATATATCCTTGTGATGAAATTATCAATGAAGTTATACTTGATGTTTTATATTTTTACATGTCATCCAATCGTATTATATATATCTTTTAATGTATTTTTATGTTTGTAAAAATAATAAGATAATTACATTAAATTCATATGCAACGTATCCTCCACTAACCATACGAATAGAGAATGCATGGAAGTCTGAATACAATGAATACAAAAACACCTATGATCACTATATAAAAATATGGCCCTAGAAACTCAAGGCCTCGTATCATGCATGCTTACAGAACTAGGTCACTCATAATTGTCTTTAGCGATTCACGTAGTCAGTTGATTAACCAACTCCATCTATTCAATGCCTTCGTAAACTCAATCTCCTCAAGAAAACATTTTTTATATAATTCATTATGCTTTGAACAAAAGTACTTATGAGCAAAAATACTTTCTGCATAAGCATTCTCAAGCGAAAAATAATAATTAAAACATTTTTTTCCTGCACTCTTATTTAATCTTGTATGCGTTCAATTTGATCCGTTTACTCTGAAGATCTAAATTTTTTATTATTTTTTATTTTATAAAAAATAGTAATTATTATCATTTTCTTTCTCAAACATGTCCCTAGTCATTGGACCTAAATGTCAAGGTCTCGGCCCACTTTAAAAAGAAAGAGAACTTTTTTTTTTCTTTTTCCAACAAAAATAAAAAATAAAAAACAAAAAATCTGACACAGAGATAAAGCTACATACTTTGCTCGCATTCTGCTCCCCTATAAAAGCCCAGAAACCGTAATCCGAATAAAGACCCAAAATTTCCCTCCTTCCCAACACCCCAACAAACTGACATGGACCAACAGAACTCCACCACCACCCCAACTCCCTCCACCTCCCAACCACCCACCGAATCACCCCCAAACGCCCAATCCCAGCCTCCACCTCAGCCTCAGCCACCGGCGCCCTCCTCCTTACCAACCACTCCAACCTCCACCCCAACCCCCCCTCCCCCAAACCCTAACCCTAACCCTAAACACTCCACCCCATTACCCCCACAACCACTACTTCAACCGCAACCGCCACCCCAGTCGCTTCCACCCCCTTCGCAGCCCAGAACTCCCTCCACATTGGCTCGTCCTCCCCCCTGGCAGCAGTCCCACTTCCACCACTACCCTTCGCCTTCTTCTTCCGCTTCGTCTGGCCCTCCTCCTCCGCCGCTTTCAGCCTCCCAGCCTCCCCCGCCGAGGGGCGGCATTTCCATTGGTGTTCCCGCGCATCACAGCGGCCCTTCTCCCCCCCAACCCGCTCCGTATTTGTCTTCCTATGGGCATCATTTTGGTGGGATGGGCCGCGGCGGTGTCTCTGTGCCTGAATCTGTATCCAATTCCAGTCCTTCCCAGGTGACATTGTAACGCCATTCATTATTATATCTTTGTTACTTCCCACAAAAGAAAAAGAAGACAATTTTATGGATTGTTTGATATTTTGGTATATGTGGGGTGACCAATTTGGACTTACAGTTTGTAATTTTACCGTGTTTTGATTTTGTTTAGATAGATATTTGTGTGGTTTACTTGCTGCTGGAATATTTAGTAGTAGTTTGTTTTTGGGGGATATATAGGTGAGACCGTCAATGCAGGGAATGGGGATGATGGGTTCACTCGGTTCTAGTTCTCAAATGCGGCCAACTGGGATTCCGGCACATCATCCACAGAGGACAGTTCAATCCTCTGTGAGGCCGCCATCTACTGCAAGTAATCAGTCCCCGTCTTCCCAAGTCAGTATCCAGTTTCTACATTTTACTATTTTAATTTCGATGTGCAATATGTAGTTTGTGGACATGTGGAAATCTGGATATATAATGCGACAGTGCTCTTTCAAAACTCATAAAGATGATCTATGTTGCCTGCTAAGGTTTTTCTGATTGGATTTATTGTGGAATTTGGTCTTTTTAACTTCAATATACTGTTAGCTAAGCAAACAAAGGACTGGAGTTGTGTTGTTAGGTTCTTTGTTCATGGTCAGTGTGGACGAGGAACTTAAAGAAAAGTGGAACTTAGGCCAAATTTGTTAGGAATGCTTACGAAAGTTAGATAGAGTGACTTGAATGCAATATATCTGAGGGAAGGTTCAAATTTGAATTCTTGAGCGTTTAGTAGCAGCTTTGTAATTCTTGAGTAATTCGTTGGTACTTGGTAGTGCTCTTCTAGTGCATTTTTAACAATAGAGTCTAAACTTTAAAGTTCCGTGGGACTTTGAAAATCCCTTATCCAAACATAGGGCAAAGAATTTGATAGTGAAGATTAATAAGTTATGTTATGGTATTGTTTGAATTTTGTTTCCGGGAAGCCGACGTCATTTTTCATTTAGTATTGTGTAAGTTGAATATGCTCGGGGGTTCCATTTGTGTGTCCTGCCTTTTTTTTTTTTACTGTTCTAATGGAACCATGCATTCTTCGCTTTTGACCTTAAACTTTAAAGTTCCTTTTTTTTTTTTAATGTTCTCCAAGTATGTTTGCATATTCCATTTCCTTTATGCAGAATTTCCAAGGGCACAGCCTTTTACGAGTTTCATCAGTGGGATCTGGTTCATCACCAAATACATCTCCAGGTTTGCAGCCTCATACTCAGCCATGGTTGTCATCTGGGTCACAAGGGAAGCCGCCTATGCCATCCCCTTCATATAGGCAGCAGATGAACTCGCCATCCATGCAGCAAAGGTCGCATCTTCCGCAGCAACAGCCCCATCCTACAGCTCCCCAGCAGCAGCACCATTCCATGCCTTCAGCTTCACAGCAGCAGCACCATCCCCTGCCTTCTGCTTCACCGCAACAGCACCATCCCATGCCTTCAGCTTCACAGCAACAGCATAAATCATCTGCGCAACATCAACAACCTTCCTCATCACATCAGGGTCCCGAGCATTTTGGCCAACAAGTTCAGCCATCAAGGGTCCCACAAACCATGCCTCGTCAGCAACAAATCACAAGGGTTCAGGGCCCTGTAAATCCCAAGTCTTCTACTCTTGTAGCTGCACAGCCTAACACGGTCCAATCAGGGGCCCAAAATAAAACACCAAGTCCAGAAACAGATGAATCTTGTAATAGAATTCTTGGCAAAAGAAGCATCCGTGAGCTAGTCAACCAGGTGAGTCATGTTGGCCTTCTTTCACCATACTTTGATATTCGCTCATGCTAGCATTTGTGCTGAGGTTTCATCAGTATTCATTGTTAAAGCTAAATCTAAGAGGCATTCCTTCTGCGTTGGAGTGGATGTTCATGTCACTTGTTAATGGTTCTTAAAGGAATAAGTTTCACCCATTTATATTGGGGAGAGAAAACATTATCTCTAGTATGTTAATTGGCAGCTCCAATCTCTCTAAATTGCTGTATCCTTTTTCTAACATATGCTCCACATTTAGTAAGAGGGGATTGCCTAACCCAGCCGCTTGACTAAAATATCTTTTTTCGTTTATATTTAAAAGTAATCTTCCTTTTTGCTTCCTGTTACTGAGTTTTTAGCTTTTGGATAGATTGATCCATCTGAGAAGTTGGATCCAGAAGTTGAAGAAATTCTCATGGACGTTGCAGATGAATTTGTTGATTCTGTGAGTAATTGAGCTAGTATTTTGTGTTTTGTTTTTTCATGCACTTAAAAGATATCCCTGATTATTAGGCATGTATGCCTAAACAAATGTTGGGAAATTAGAATTGCCTTATTTTGTGATACTGGGCCTTTTTGTATGCTGCTAACCATGGCTATTTTTAGCTTCTTCATATAATACGATCTGCATATGTTTCACAATTTCTTAATTTGTAAGTGCTTGCCATCTTTTTTTTTTTTTTTTTTTTTTTTTTGGTTAAACTCATGGGTATCCTTTGTGTCCATATCTTGTTTAGCTGAAGTAGGTGCTTGGATATAAAAAAATTTCCTCGATAATATGGCATTGTTGTGGCCAGCACTAACTTCATAGGGAAAGGCTTTATTTTGCATACTTGTTTCATATTGTCTTTTTGCTTCACTGCTTTTCAATATGCTCTATAATGATTGACTTTTCATTATCGCCGGTTATAGGTTTCTATATATATATATATTATTCTATTTTGTTCATAATTCTTATGTTGCCAACATGTTTTATTTTCCATGTGCAGATCACAACATTTAGTTGCTCACTAGCCAAGCATAGAAAATCAACTCAATTAGAAGCAAAAGACATACTTCTACATATTGGTTAGTTATGTGGGAGAAGTGCTAGATGATGTTTCTGTTCACATTATGTACATCTAGTGCTTAATATTCTGTGTTTATTCGTTTCGTCCAGAAAAAAATTGGAATATAACTCTTCCTGGGTTCGGTGGTGATGAGATTAAAGGCTTCAGAAAACCAGTAAGCATTGACTGACTGGTTACTAATACTTTTGTATTGTAAAACTTAAAAACGTATGTTTATGGTATGCAAAAAAATAAAAAAATAAAAACCTTTTAGTGCTTCATTAATTGTTGATTGCTTTTTGTGATGGTTTTGCAGCTTACAAATGACATGCACAAGGAGCGCCTTGCTGTGGTAAGTTTGTCCGGCGTTTTCTTTGCTGTTTTTGTTTGAACTTGGCTGGTTAGAATAATGCATCATTAATGGTTATGAATATGTAAAGCTTATTGTTGGGTTTGTCATGTTATATTTTTGTTTTATTTTCTCCTTCCCTTCTTTGCCAGATAAAGAAGTCCATAGTAGCAACTGAGACAGCAAATGCTAGGAATCCCACTGGACAAGCCACTGGAAATGCAAAGGGTGGTCTTGTTAAGACACCTGCCAACATCATACTCTCCCAAAACTCTAAAATGCGTGAAGTTACATAATGACGTGAACTGTTACGAGCAGATTTTATACTAAAAAGGTGTGTCAAATACGATGCTGATATTTGTGTTCAATTATTTTATTATGCTTACTACAAGTTTATGCATGTAGACAGTTCAGGATTTCTTAGTTTCAAGGTTATAATGTCTATCCTGTGATCCTTGTGGAAGTGTTAATGTTGGATTCTACTCTCGCTGTTAACTGGCCCTGGTGGTTGGTTAGCCAACAGATTGGTTTGTGTGAGGTTATTAAATGAATACCAGATGTAGACGGTAGTTCTTATAACTTCTCTTCCATTATTTACCAAAAAGGAAAAAAAAAAGAGTTCCTCCTTCCCTGGATTGGGGTTTGATAAATATATCAAATTGTGTTGGTCTGTAATTAGCATCAGGAATTAATTTTCGGGTCATGATGCTTCTGGTCTTGGGTTTGAATTAACAGAGTTCCAAATGGTCAAGCGAGAGGAGCGGTTGTCATGTCCAGTTGTTTCTGTATATCACCTTTATCTTCTGCCATTGTTAAATGCTGCATGTGTGGTTTCAACTGTGTGCAGTTTTTACATACGATGTGAAGTACTAATTGTTGTGCTTCTTTCCAATTGTCGACAGGTCTCTGGCATCGCATAATTAGTGCAGGGGCCAAATTTTGCTGTAAAATTTCTTGATCTGACGATCGAATGAGGAGAATCCTAGCGGCTGAAGTCTTCCTGGAGGTAAGGAACCAGAAGTCTCCCCGGGGGGTTGCATTGAAAGTACGAAGTTCTGCTGAACCTTTCGGATCACCAGCAATACCTCTCTAACCAGTTGTATATGGAAGAACTCAAATTTGTCACTGCAGTGCATATGGGCAAGTTCATAGTGTTGTATTTTTCTTATCATCTATCTTTACCAATATAGTAAAAATTTAGATCGAAATTGATGTATATTTAAACCAACCTAAATAATAGATTGATTTAAACCAAATTAAACTCGCAAGCGCACGAATCAATTGTAGTAATATATGCAAATACGAGGTCGATCCCACAAGGATTGCTTTAACATCAATTTAACCGATTAATCACGCTAGACTTAATTAAGCAAATAAATGATAGATTGAATTGAATAATTGAGTAATTGATCAAGACTAAAATTAACAAGAAAAAGAAAAGACAATTAACTAAAACAAACACACGACACAAGAAAGCCAAAGGTTATGAATCCACCAATAACAATCATATTTACTTTTCCTAGAGCCAATTACTATCCAATTCCCATGCCAATTTTACAGGTTGTTCATTCTAATGTATGAATCAATCCGTGGTTAGGCATCAACTCTTGTATCTCTACATAATAATTATATCCTATTGGTTAGGCATACAATTAAACATATAAAAACCCATTAAGCATAGAAGAATCATGTCAACCAAGTAGGACTAGCTTGATATTGGTCATCCTCACTAGTTTGTGTACTCTTCTTAATCTTAGTTCCAATAAACCTAATTGATATTGGTCATCCTCATAGATTTATCTAAATCTCTAGATGCAAAATTCCTAAAGGTGATCAGTCATTAGAAACTCGAACCTAGAATAAAATACCCACAAAGATTAAGAATATAACATGGCATATAATGGAATAATAATCAACAAAGTACTTCGCAAATATTTATGTCATGGCTTCATCATAAACCTTAGAAAATAACTTAGTTACACATAGAAATAAAAATAAAAGAAAGATAGAACCCGGAATCCATGGCAAAGCACGTCCCTAAGCTCTTCTTCACTAATTGCGGAGATGGTGAATGGTAGTATGGTGTGGAGGTGGATGGATGGACGGATTGATGGATGGATATATGGATGGATGTTTTAGAGAGAGCTTAGGGACCTTATTTAAACTAGAAAAACCCTAAAAGGTCTGGGAGAAAGTCTCCTAAAATAAATCAAACTCCTAAACAATTAATGACACAAAATAAGAAAGAATCCTTCTTGACTTGGGAAACACGTCATCTGCCTTCCACGCCAGTTTTGGGGTTGATTTATCTTCTGGAAAATTCTGTAAAAATATGAAAAACGTAGCTTTATCTCTTATCTTTCCAGGCATATATTGCAAGACACTAGGAAAAATCGGGAAAGCCTTCAAATCTTCATTCTCCTACAGCTGTGCAATTCTGACGGGAAAGTTACTTCTGCGGGATTCATTTGTGAAACTAGAATGAATGGCTCCATGGAAAATTATGAAATTTGGACACAACGATCTTCAGCCTCTTATCTTCCTTCTCCAATTGGCCTTGCAGCAAAACTCCCCCGGAAAGTTGAATTATCACCAAAAACGTCCTAAGTGCACAGAATGGCTGAAACTGAGAAAAGGAAAGTAATAAGATTCTTTTATAATCAATTCCTTAACAAAACTTAGGGATAATTATTATGAAAATATGATAAATAATGCACCTATCAGAAATCTCAGTCGATTAAAACCCGATAAATTCAAAAATTCATTTTATTTTTTATGGAATTTTTCGTCGTGATATTTGAGGGCATGAAATCTGGTCTACTGAGCATGAGACGTGACAAATTGACATGATTGTAAGATAACAAGTATTCAAACATCATCTATCAATTGTTCTTTCATAATGTACTACTGAGCGGTCTAGAAAACCAACGATTGTATTTTGTATATACTATATACAAATCTAGTGAATTTTTCTCAACTGTTAGGTCCTGCATAAAGTTTGTGCCATTGAGTGGTATGTACAATTGTTACCGAACTCTATATTCAAAAGAATTTTCTAGTATGTTTTAGTGTATCTTTTTTTTGGTCAAGGGGAAGATTTTGTTCCAATCAAAACATAAATTTACAAACAGACAAAGGCCTAACAAACATCTATAAACAACCAAAAAGGGCCTAAATAGAAAGAAAAAACAACAGAAACAGAGAATGAGCCCAAAAGGTCAAAACCAAAGAACATCCGAGAAACGCCCACTGCCTTCTCCACCGACGGTCTCCGACCACTGCCGATCATCTGCTTCATTGACGTCTCATGCTCATAGCCATAAGTTAGGGTTAATCGTCATCCAAGAGGCCAATCACCAAGTGGAAGCTCAGAACAAGTCCCGAGCAACATTGTCGCAAGCGGCCCACACAAAGGATAACGTGGTGGTGTGGAAAACACCCGCGCCGGAACTCTACACATGAACTCGATAGAGAACATGGTTGAAAAACGAAGCAAGGAAGAACTAGGAAGAAGAAAACCCACGAAGTTGAAGGAATTGGATAGGCCAAATTGAAAATTGGGGAGAACCAACAGTAGATGCAGGGAGAAAAGTAGAAGAAAAGGGAGAAAGGACACAACACCTGACCCCAGCCGAAGCTAGGGCCGGTGCCACCGAAGAGTCTAGAAGGTCTCATAGAAGCACTCTCACAGTGGAGAAAAAGAAACTCTCACAGAGGAGAGGAGCTGAAGTTCGTTTTTCGTTTCAGTGTATCTTATACATTGAGATTTTTAACCACTAAATCATTCGTAAAACTAAATTATGTTGTTTATGCGGGAAAAAAAAAAGTGGCTTTTCCACGTGTTCCACATGCTTTTGTCTTGGCATAGAGAAGATTTTGTGAAATCTGTTGATCGGTAGGGACACCACCACATGTAGTGGACCTGCGAATTTCCTTGTCGCATGTTGGCTGCCGTGTACCCAATCTGAAGTTGAAGAGATACAACTTATATATATCACGTGTGTATTGTCATTAAAAATTCAATGATAATGAAACAAGAATACATGGTCAAAAACTTATATATTTTTCTTTTATTGACACGGAACACCATTATGATAGCATTTACGTGTGTATAAAATTTTCTTGAACTTGAAGTTTGAGCCAATGAGTACATAACATGTCATTAAATGTTAATACATCTAAGAAATATGCACAAAGACAAGAAAAGATTAAACAACTGAAAATGGATTGCGTGTGATATTTTGACATGGTACCACAACTTAATATTGAGTTTGGGACTATTATGAGAGCACGGGGGAGAATTGAAATTATCACAATAATTTAGAGAAGAGAGTTTCAAATGCAGAATGTATGAGTAGAAACTCAACATCTTATCCACTAGGATATTAGATCACATGCACTGGATACTTGATTATTCAAGTATGAGTAAACTAATCCTAATTTGAAAACCACTCATTGCTTGATCCGTTATGTGTTTAGTAAACACAAGATATGTCAATAACATAAATGATAATTCATATCGTGCAATACTCATTCACGGTGAGTAAATATGTCCTTAGCTTTTTTTTAAATTAAAAAAAAAAAAAAAAAAAGCAATTACCTTTTTACGACTTGTTTAAAAATGGTTAAAGAAGTTTTTTGTAATACGCACCAATCCTCCTTGTAATTAAAAAAATACTTGAATTTTTAATCAAAATTTTATTATGCTTCTAACAAAAGCACTTTCAACAAAAATAACACTAGCTTGTGGCTCGTTTTGTAACTGGATCTTAAAAAGACACTTGAAGTGCTTCATGCAATATAAGAAGCACATTCAAGTACTTTTGGAACTCAAAGAATATTTTCTCAATGAGCTCTTTCGATTATTTTAAAAGCACTTGCAAACGAGCCATTAATATTCTTTTTCAATGTTTAGAATATTTAATTTTGTAAGAGAGATGAGATGATGCTAATACTTTCACCGGACCCCTGCTTAATTGTAAAATTGAAGTCATCTTTTGTATAATGGCGGTGAAGTGCATTATTGTTGTTAGATAAGTTTAAATTTCAAAATTTGTGCAATAAATTTCAAACTCATTCAACAATAATTAGTGTGGTGGTGAACAAAAATAATTTAATGATGACGTGATCATGCAATGCTTATAATAGTGGTGTCTTCACATTGTTTAATTTATTACAGGTATGTGTGAGTGGGGTTTATTTAAAATATACTTTGATTAATGAATAAATCTGATTAAAAATAGAACCAAGACACGATTATTGAAAGCTGAGAATCTATTCTACATGCAGATGCAGGACCTTTAAGCAAAGCTCAGAATAACAATACATGTGTTGGATGCGTTCATACCAACTCACATGTACTAAATTTCATCAGAATTTCAAAGTTAAACGAATTTGAATAAAAATAGTAATAGAATGGATGACCTCTTGGATAGTCCTTGTGTTACATCTTTTTTTTTTTTATTAAAAAAAAACATGTGTAAAATGTTAAACTGTCACCATTCATAAAAAAATGACTTAAATGTAGGCTCTTTAAAAATAGTTTCGTAGTCGTTCTTTTAAAAAAAATAAGTTCATTCAAAGAGAGACAATTCGATTACAACCATTTTTAGTATAATAAAATAAAAAAGCATTTCTAGCAATAGTGGGTAAATAGGTATTTTGAATGGTGTGTTCAATGCTAGCAACCGCATCAACAAGAAAAGTTGCCTTCCGAAACACATGAACCCAAGATATAGAAGAAAATGATCGTGCAAGTAGTTTGATGTCCTCTATAATAGTATTTGATTGGTAAGGCGTTCCGCACTTGTTCAAAATTTAATCAATAATGAGTTTGGAATCACCTTCAACACAGACATCACCTTTGACTTTTACTGAGTTTTAAAATTAATTAACGAGTTTTGAATCAATATCTTTTTTTGTTTATATTTAAAATTAATCTTCCTTTTTGCTTCCTGTTACTGAGTTTTTCGCTTTTGGACAGATTGATCCATCTGAGAAGTTGGATCCAGAAGTTGAAGAAATTCTCATGGACATTGCAGATGAATTTGTTGATTCTGTGAGTAATTGAGCTAGTATTTTGTGTTTTGTTTTTTATTGCACTTAAAAGATATCCCTGATTATTAAGCATGTATGCCTAAACAAATTTTGGGAAGTTAGAATTGCCTTATTTTGTGATACTGGGCCTTTTTGTATGCTGCTAACCATGGCTATTTTAAGCTTCTTCACAAGGAGCGCCTTGCCGTGGTAAGTTTGTCCGGCGTTTTCTTTGCTGTTTTTGTTTGAACTTGGCTGGTTAGAATAATGCATCATTAATGATTATGAATATGTAAAGCTTATTGTTGGGTTTGTCATGTTTTATTTTTGCTTAATTTTCTCCATCCATAGTAGCAACTGAGACAGCAAATGCTAGGAATCCCACCGGACAAGCCACTGGTAATGCAAACGGTGGTCTTGTTAAGACACCTGCCAATATCATAAGCTCCCAAAACTCTAAAATGCGCGAAGTTAACGTGAACTGTTACGAGCAGATTTTATACTAAAAAGCTGTGTCAAATACGATGCTAATTGTGTTGGTCTGTAATTAGCATCAGGAATTAATTTTCAAGGATATGGCAGAATTTGAAATTATTATAATAATTTAAGAGGGGAAATTTCGAATGTGGTATGCATGAATAGAACTGAATATCTTATTCAATAGGATATTGGACCACCTGCACCGGATACTTGATTATTCAAGTATGAGTAAACTAATCCTAATTTGAAACCCACTCATTGCTTGATCCTTTATGTATTTAGCAAACGCAAGATATATCGGTAGCATAAATGATAATTCATATTGTGCATACTCATTCACGGTAAGTAAATATGTCCTTAGCTTTTAGAAGCATCTTTTAAATTTCAAGAAAAGTAGGCAATTACCTTTTACGACTTGTTTAGAAATGGTACGTTAAAGAAGCTTTTTTAATGTGCAAACCTTAACCAAGTTGATAGGAGTAGTGCGTTTCTATACTCACCAATCCTCCCTGTAATTAAAAAAATGCTTGAATTTTTAATCAAAATTTTGTTATGCTTCTAACAAAAGCACTTTCAGCAAAATGACACTTGTGGCTTGTTTGAAAGTGTTTTCAAATGGTTTGAAAGCATTTTGATGAAAATGTTTTTTCAACCAATCCTTAGTAAAAATGCAATTGGATTCTGAAAAAACACTTGAAGTGTTTCATGCAAGAAACACATTTTAGTACTTTTGGAAATCAAAGAATATTTTCTCAACGAGCTATTTCAGTTATTTTAAAAGCACTTGTAAACAAACCAATAATATTCTTTCTCAAAGTTTAGAATATTTAATTTTATAAGAGTGCATATATTGAGATGACATGATGCTAATACTTCCACTGGACCTCTGCTTAATTGTAAATTGGAGTCATCTTTTGTACAATGGTGGTGCATTTTTATTGTTACACGAGATTAAATTTCGAAATTTGTATAATAAATTTCAAATTTTTTTAATAAATTTCAAACTTATATAACGATAATTAGTAAGGTGGTGAACAAAAATAATTTCATGATGGCTTCATCAAGCAATGCTTGTAATAGTGGTGTCATCACATTGTTTAATTTATTTTAATACAGGTAGGTGTGAGTGGGGTTTATTTAAAATATACTTTGATTAATGAATAAATAAGAACCAAGACACGAATATTGAAAGTTGAGAATCTATTCTACATGCAGATGCAGGACCTTTAAGCAAAGCTCAGAATAACAACACATGTGTTGGATGCCTTCGTACCAACTCACATGCACTAGATTTTATCAGAAGTTCGAAGTTAAATGAATTAAATGAAAGTAGTAATAGAATTTGTGATAACTCGTTTCTAATTTTACGATTTTATTAATTTTAAATGAGAGAATTAACGAAAATGCTTTTAGAGGCAAAGGTTATGATTTTTGTTGACCATCGTTTAGAGAGATGTATGACCTACTCTTTTAGCATACTTGTGTAATACACGACGATATGAATGTATAGGCGAAAGCAAAATCAAAATTGAAGTTACTGTTAAAATTTTACGAAACACTGAATACTGAAGGCAAATTAGTAATTTAATATTTAGAGATATTTTGGGTTGTTTTGTGAGCCACGTGGGACCCACAGCCCACTCTGCCCTATTGCGCATCCGATTTTCCCCAGAAATCTGGGTCTCACTCTCTTTACTCACCCAATCCCCTTTTGCCACCTCACCACTCAACTCTCTCTCTTCACCTTCTCTCTCAGAACTTTCCCAATCGTCCTCTGCAACCACCGACGCCGAGGCAGCGATCACCTAACCCTCACCAGTTCTCCCTCTCATCTTCATCTCAAACCTCGAGGCCCTCTCTCTCTTCTCCCTGCCTTCACTGCTCAGATGCAGTCAAACCGTGATGCATCCACCATCGGCGGCGATGGTATGTCGCAAGATTCGACAAAAAGTGAGTCGGAAGTACCTTGGGGACGAATATCCTAGTTTCCCGGCCAAATCGGCCGGACTCCGGTGTTCTTCTTTGCTGGGTGTGGTCGACCAGCGAGCCCAGGTGGGTCAACTTGACCCTATTCGTTTTAATAATAAAAAAAAAGGGGGGCCCAAACCGAGAACCGTCCCGTTAAAGTTAACTGTTAACCGTTAGTTGATTTTTTTAAAAAAATTTCGGAAACCTTCCTAGACTAATTTCAACGCCTCGAGTCCGTTTTTAACATCCATGTAGTGAAATTCTAAAGTTTTAATGTAGTTAACCACCGGGGCATCTT